CCTGACTCTGTACTGTTCAATTTCTCCTCCTGAATCTGTACTGTTCTCCTTCTGCTGATTTGGTACTTTTCTTCTTCTCTTCCTGACTCTGCACTGTCCTCCTTATCTCCAGACTCTATACTGTTTTCTTTCACCTCCTGACTCAACACTGTTCTCCTTCTCTTCCAGACTCCGTAATGTTTGCTTTCTCAGCCTGATTTACTTTACTTCATACTCTTCTCTTTCTCCTTCAAACTCTGTACTGTCCTCCTTCTCCTTCCCACCCTGTGCAGTTTTACTCCTTCTGGCACCATACTGTTCACCTTTTTCCTGCTGACACTGTACTGTTCTCCAGAGTCCATATTGTTCTCCTCCACCTGGTTCCATACTGTTCCCCCTCTCCTCCTGACTATATACTGTTCTCCTTCTCTTCTCTTCTCTTCTCTTCTCTTCTCTTCCGGATTGTTCTCCACATTACTCTGTACTGTTCTTCTCCTCCTGGCTCCTTACAGTTCTTTCAATTTCATACTCTTCTCCTTCTCCTCCTGAATTTGTATTGTTCTCCCTCTCCTCCTGACTCTGTACTGCTCCCTTTCTTCTCTTGACTCTTTATTGTTCTCCTATGCCATCTGATTGCATACTGTTCTTCTCCACCTGGCTCCATACTGTTCTCCTCCTCCTTCAGAATCCATACTGTTCTCTCAATTTCATACTCTTCTCTTTCTACTTCTGACTCTTTACTGTTCTCCTTCTACAGATTCCATACTGTTCTCCTCCTCACAACTCTGTACTGTTGTTCTCCTCCTGGCTCCATATAGTTTTCTTTCCATTTCATGCTTTTCTCCTTCTCCTCCTGACTCTGTATTGTTCTCCTTCAGCTCAGTATTGTTCTCCCTTTCCTCCTGACTCTGTACTGCTCCCTATCTCCTCTTGACTGTTTACTGTTCTCCTTCTCCATCTGATTCCATACTGTTCTTCTCCTGATAGCTCCATACTGTTCTCCTCCTCCTGAATCCATACTGTTCTCTTAGTTTCATACACTTCCCTTTCTCCTCCTAACTCTTTACTGTTCTCCTTTTCCTCCAGATTCCATACTGTTCTCCTCGTCATGGCTCTGTACTGTTCTTCTCCTCCTGGCTCCATATTGTTCTGCTTCTTCTCCTGACTCCATTCTGCTCCCCTTCCCCTCCTGACTGTTTACTGTTCTCCTTTTCTTCCTGATTCCATACTGTTCTTCTCCTTCTGGGTCCATACTGTTCTTTCAATTTTATACTCTTGTCCTTCGCCTCCTGACTCTGTATTGTTCTTCTCCTCCTGACTCTATATTGTTCTCTTCTCCTCCTGACTCTATATTGTTCTCTTCTCTCTCCTCCTGACTCTGTACTGTTCTTCTTCTCCAGATTCTATACTGTCCTCCTCTTAGCTTTGTACAGTTCTTCTCCTCCTGGCTCCATATTCTTCTCCTTCTCCTCCTGACTCTGTACTGTTCTTCTTCTCCAGAATCTATACTGTTCTCCTCATCATGGCTCTTTACAGTTCTTCTCCTCCTGGCTCCATATTCTTCTCCTTCTTCTCCTGATTCTGTACTGTTCTTCTCCAGAATCTATACTGTTCTCCTCATCATGGCTCTGTACAGTTCTTCTCCTCCTGGCTCCATATTCTTCTCCTTCTCCTGACTCTGTACTGTTCTTCTCCTTTTTACTCTGTACTTTTCTCCTCCTTCTCCTCTTGACTCTTTACTGTTCTCTTTTTACTCTGTACTTTTCTCCTCCTTCCTCTTGACTCTTTACTGTTCTCCTTTTCCACCTGATTCCATACTGTTCTTTCAATTTCATACTGTTCTGTTCTCCTCCTGACTCTGTACTGCTCTCTTCTCCTCCTGAGTCTGCACTGTTCTCCTTCTCCTCTTGATTCCTTGCCCCTCTGTTTTTTTCTTCCTCTCCCCCAACCAATCTCCTCTGACTTATCTATACCTTCCAATTTTGTCTTCCTCTATCTCTCTGTACCATCCTACTTTTCCTCCTGACTTCCCCCTTCCCCCCCCCCCCCCTTCCTTCTTTCTCTCTCCCTCCATCACTTATAAAAGTGATGGAAATTTCAACCCACCTTCCGCTCTGTTAAAAAAAAAAAAAAAGAACAAAAAAGAGCAAGAGGTGAATACAATTTTTAATGTTCTATTTTCAGGATCTCTTTTTTTTGCAAAAAACATTTGTTTGCTGTATCATCTGAGCCTGACAGCTATCCTCCCACGTTTTCTGTAACTGATAGTTGGTTTAATAAGCTGTTCTGTTCTTTCACATTCTACAGTAAGTGGTAACTGCATTTTTATAATCAGAGTTTCACCCAGAGTTTTGCACGCCGTGCATATACGTGATAATTTATTCCAATGGAATCACACACAAAGCAACACCTCTTTTCATTGTGTGTGTGTTTTGTATTGAGCTCTGCAGCAATATACATTATTTGAGAAATCATGGAATAAGGCAATGTGCAGTACCTCTTTCCTGATATGCAACTTTTTTTTTTTTTTTTTTAATATTACTGGCATCTATAAACCTCAACTAAATTTAGTCTTAAAGTAGAAACTAAATAGATTTGTGATTTCATGTCTTGCCATAATATACAGTATTTATATACCCAGTATACATGCAACTTATGGCAAACCTACCCCTTCCTGTGTTGGCCCTCCAGCCATGCATTGTCCCCCTTTCCCTAATCATTCCACCTCTGTCTTCCCCCTTCTCTATTGGCTGGCTGTGGATGATATAACTTCTGCACATGGACAATGAAAGTTACCTTGTCCTGGCTATTACCCCCAGCATGTCAAGATTGTACTCTGAGCAGGGGCAGACTGACCAATTGGAAACTCGGGCACTGCCTGTGGGCCCGGGGTCAGTAGGGGGCCCCACGAGATGCCCCTGAAAAATCCAAATGTTAAAAGTAGATTGGCCCAATGAGATACTGAAACCAGAATTCTGCAGATTATATTTTATGTATCATTATTTATGTATATAGGTCATGTAATAAACTATATTATACTCATTGCTGGTCATTGTTGTGTATATCGCTCGTTCTGGCCGGAAGGGCGCTGCCAGGGGCGGGCTGACCATTTGGAAACTCGGGCACTGCCCGTGGGCCCGGGGTAAGTAGGGGGCCCCATGAGATGCCACTGGTATCTTTTTCATAGGCTTTTTTGAGTTTGGGCAAGGACACAGGGGCCCCATGATCCCCTATTGCCCGGGAGCCCTATGAGTTGTCAGTCCACCCCTGACTCTGAGTTAGGGTTTAAATGAGGGCTGGGACAAGGGATGGGCAGGAAGGGCAGTTGCCCTGGCACAATGGTTTACTGGAGGGATGGGGGCACCTTCTTTCTGTAATAAGGCTGGCAGGATTAGAAATTTTGACAAGCAAGTGATTTCTTGGTGTTGGATCCCCTAAGCTTGCACATCATGAATGGAGAAGGGGGAGGGGGGGTTGGGGGGTGCAGTTTGGCATTTTTGCCCTGGCCGCTGGATGACCTTGTCCCAGCACTGGGTTAACTGCTCATTTATTCTAGGAGAGTATGAAAACCCTTTTACTTACCTGGTCCTCAGCTTCCCTGCAGGTGGCACTCCCCTATGCTCTGTCGGTAGGCTGTCCTTTGGCTTCATGACATCCAATGCAGAGATATAGACCCTGCCTTGGTCTTGATGATATCAGGACCTTGGACTGCTGAGCATGGGGAAAAAAAACACTAAGGGGACCTTATCTAGCAGAGCAGAGGAAGGAAGGATTGGGTGAATGAATGACATTTTCTACTCCCTTTAGACCTAAAGGAACAGTCAACCATTGTAGCACAACAACAAGGGAGAATGTTTAGGTTTCTCAGAGTTCAGATTTAAGACTAAGGTTGTCTGACACTTTGTTGGGGCACAGTCCACCTTTTTAAAGGCCACCTTTATATATATATATATATATATATATATATATATTTAGCACTTCCGCCTGGCAGTACTAGGGTCGCTGGTTCGAAACCCAGCCACGGCACCTCCTGCCTGGAGTTTGCATGTTCTCCCTGTGCCTGTGTGGGTTTCCTCCAGGTAATCCGGTTTCCTCCCACACTCCAAAGACATGCTGGTAGGTTACTTGGATCCTATCTAAATTGGCCCTTGTATATGTATGTGAGTTAGGGACATTAGATTGTACGCTCCTTGAGGGTTAGGGAATGATGTGAATGTACAATATATATGTAAAGTGCGGCGTAAATTGATGGCGCTATATAAGTACCTGAAATAAATAAATAAATATAAAGCCATTTTAAATGAGCCTGCAGCATACTGGTTTTCCGAAAAGCATAGCTGCAATACCAAGAGTTTCCTGCAGGTGGAGCGTAGGCTCTATTTTACCCATACTGCAATGAAAAATGGTCATGGCTATGCCACAAGGATGAATTAATGTCAGATTTATCTGAGTTTTTCTATCGTACGTGAATTGATGTTTTCTATGTTTCTTTCTTTTTTTTTCTTTTTCAGATGAAATCCCGGCGATGGTTGGGCTCATAAGCGCCTTTGGCCTCGTCTTTACCGTGTCGCTTTTTTCTTGGATTTGTTGCCAGCGCAAATCGTCCAAGTCCAATAAGACCCCACCTTATAAGTTTGTGCATGTGTTGAAAGGAGTCGACATTTACCCGGAAAGCCTAAACAGCAAAAAGAAATTTGGGGCGGACGAAAAAAACAGAACTGTCCCCTAAATCGTTGATATCAAAGACATCTCTCCATCTCGACTTGGAGAAAAGGGACTTAAACGGCAATTTTCCCAAAGCCAATAAAGTCAGAAGCTCGCCAGATCTTGAGGATTTTGCACAACCTCAATTACCGGAGAAAGACAAAGAATCCATCTCTCCAGAGAGCGTCAAGTCCAGCTCGTCGCTTTCTTTTGTAGACAAACAAGATAAGCTGGGAACGCTCTTCTTCTCATTAGAATACAACTTTGAGAAGAAGGCTTTTGTGGTCAACATCAAGGAAGCCCGTTCGCTCCCGGCTATGGATGAGCAGTCGATGACCTCCGATCCGTACATAAAAATGACCATCCTTCCGGAGAAAAAACACAAGGTTAAAACACGAGTCCTCCGGAAGACCCTTGACCCAGCGTTCGATGAGACATTTACGTTTTATGGAATTCCTTACAGTCAGGTGCAAGATTTGGTCCTCCACTTCATAATCCTGAGCTTTGATAGGTTCTCCAGGGATGACGTCATTGGGGAGGTCTACTTTCCTCTATCGGGAATTGAGCTGTCGGATGGAAGAGTGTTGATGAACAGGGAGATCAATAAAAGGAATGTCCGGGTAATACGCCAAATTACCAGATTTATTTTTACTTGACATTGTTTAGCGATCTATTACAAGAGGCTTAGGTGTTCATGTCAAGTCCTCCAAGCTTCGATTGACTCAGATTACGATGCAGCTCAACATTGTTCTAACATGGTGTGCTGATGTATTGTGATAAGCCATTTTATTAAATAAAAAGAAAACACACATAGGAGCACCTTTTCTTTTAAACCAGTTGCAGATTTTAGGTCCAAGAATATTTTTAAAGCTGACTTTAAAGGCCAATTCCAAGAATTAAAAAAAAATGTATCCTTGCATTACCCCCAAACCTCCCCTCCTTATGGGTCAAAAGCTTATTATGTGTAGGGGGGGTACAGGAACAGAGAAGATTGCTTACCCTAAACCTCACTCTGGACAGGGGTGGACTGACCATTTGGAAACTCAGGCACTGCCCAAGGGCCTGGGGTCAATAGCGGGCCCCATGAGATGCCCCTGGTACCTTTTTCATAGGCTTTTTTGAGTTTGGGCAAGGACACAGGGGCCCCATGATCCCCTATTGCCCGGGGGCCCCATGCGTTGTCAGTCTGCCCCTGCTCTGGACAACTCCCACACTGCCCTCTTCTGCTCTGCCCCATAGCTCCAGTCTGTCCATTGGTCTATTAGCTATGCATTGTGAATTGGGGGGGGGGGGTCAAGCGTGCAACCACAGCTGGGAGCGACTTAGAAAGGAGGCTGCAGGGACCTGGTTGCACCACTGTAGGGACCCTGCTGGAGTATATTCTTGAGCCCTAGACAACACAAGCAATTAATCTTTTCAGTGCATGGGGCGGAGGGGAGGGGGCTGCAAGAGTAATTTTTTTTTTCTAATTTCTGGAGTTGGGCTTTAAAGAATAAAAAAATAGATGGTGGAAAGGCTGTAAAAGATTTAGCTGTCAGGTGAGTTTCCAGTGTTTCTTTTCCTAAAGGGACACCAATGCTGTTGCTATCTAACACTTCCAAGTGTGTCTGTGCCAGGTTCCCCCTCTGTGTGCTGTGGTTGCTGCCACCAGCCACTACAACCATATTGTATTTTCTATTGACATAGGTGCAGGTGGGAGGAACCACAGTGTTGTGGCAGGGGACAGGCAACCAAACACCTCTGTAAGTGATACTATACTGGTATCTCCTGAAGGAAAGATTTAGTTCACCACCTGCTTCAAGTCTATGTACTGATAGGGTACCTTTAAGGTCAGAAAAGGTCCTTGAAGGTCAATAAATAAATATATATATATAGATAGATATATATCTATCTATCTATCTATATATATATATATACATATATATATTGTATATCAGTTTTGGGCAGAGATGATGATCTGTAGAACAGTAGATTATATACTACAGGTTTGTTAAAAATGGTATGCAAATTTGATTATCTAGTAAATTTAATACCAATTCTGTTTTCTTGATGTTTATTCTACTAAGATGTTGCCTTCCTTAATGACTCCACCCCCCTCCCCCGATTTGTCAACATGATCATGAACATTTTAGGTAAAGCCTTTACATGCCTTATTTTAGACCCAGCAATGTCATCACCATGTCTCTGTGCTTCTCAATGCAATGCATGCAGCTCATGGCTGGTGGGAGGGGCCTGGAGGGTGCTGTACGTGGCTTCCTGAAGACATCACAACACCCTACCTCGGCATTCCTCCCAAGAGCCCTCAGTCCTGATGCAAGCAGTGGGCTGCCTGTTGGGAGGAGTTATACAAATATCAAAATACCTTGATGGGCGGATGTCAGTCTGGAGGAGTGGGTGTTTCTAGGCAGATTGTATTTGTATGGGTAACATCTACATGTGATGCTGAGCCTCCATGATTGAAAGTACTAAATAAATAAAATGAGTAATCCTCGAACAGTCAGGCTAGGGAGAACTAGATGATAATGGATGTCTTCCAGCCAGGAAATGAGGTGGGTCAATGTGACTTGCTGTAGTTTCTATTGCACATTGTGAGAAGCTCACAGAGTGCAGTGAAAACAGAAGTTTCAGTAAAGGAGAGGAGTCTGTACAACTGTGCAAAATTCCAAACCTGGATTTTATGCATCACATTAGAGTTACTGCATTGGTGTGAGAGACTGCAGACTTCTGGGTCATGTAGACCACTCATTATGTTAAATGTTGGGATGGCATTACTGCATGTTTACCGGAATGTCTCTCTTTGATTGTAGAAGTCGGCCGGACGCGGAGAATTGCTGATCTCTCTCTGTTACCAGTCTACTACAAACACCTTAACAGTGGTGGTGCTGAAGGCGCGTCACCTCCCCAAAGCTGACACGTCAGGATTGTCAGGTACTCCTTCATTTTATTTTATGAGTTTGGGTATTCTTATATTGGCACGTCATTTGTATTCAGATTTTTCAGAGTTCTTTTTTTTTTCTGAAATGTGTGTATCACCTACTTGTTGGAGATGACAAGGATGGCCTCTTACGATATTTGTGTGTCACCTACCTGTTGGGGATGACGAAGGTAGCCTCTTCTGAAATTTGTGTCATCTACCTGTTGGAGATGATAAGGATGGTCTCTTACGATATTTGTGTGTCATCTACCTGTTGGGGATGACGAGGGTGGCCTCTTCCGAAATTTGTGTCATCTACCTGTTGGAGATGATAAAGATGGTCTCTTACGATATTTGTGTGTCATCTACCTGTTGGGGTTCGAGTGTGGCTTCTTCTGAAATTTGTGTCATCTACCTGTTGGAGATGATAAGGATGACCTTCTTACGATATTTGTGTGTCACCTACCTGTTGGGGATGACGAGGGTGGCCTCTTCTGAAATTTGTGTCATCTACCTGTTGGAGATGATAAGGATGGCCTCTTATGATATTTGTGTGTCATCTACCTGTTGGGGATGATGAGGATGGCCTCTTCTGAAATTTGTGTCATCTACCTGTTGGAGATGACGAGGGTGGCCTCTTCTGAAATTTGTGTTTATCTACCTGTTGGAGATGACGAGGGTGGCCTCTTCTGAAATTTGTGTTATCTACCTGTTGGAGATGACAAGGGTGGCCTCTTCCACAATTCCCATCCAAGCACACCTGGTGGTGGAGACAGGGACTGCTGGGGCAGCGGAAGGGTGCAGGTGTCGGGAAGTTGGTGCAAGAACTTAAACCTGGAGGAAAAGAAACAAATGCACAGCTCCAGATCTGTCCAGTATGCAGAGCAAACAGTGCAAGTCTGGCTCATCCTGAGAACACTAAAGAAGATAGAGGTGGATGACCTATAATAAAAATCCAATATCTTTCTTTAAATAAGTTCAAATCTTGATAGCATAACACTCGGGGAACAGGGTTGACGCGCTTCATGTCTAATACACTTTAAGTGACTTCAGCTTATGATAAAGGGATTGTGTGAATGAATTCTGAATTTTACATGGAGTGTAACTTCATGTCAGTAAATGTCAGAAAGTTATGAAGGTGGATGAGACTAAGACCAGATCTGTACTTTCAGCCACCTGTAGACATAGTGGAATGGGAGGTTTTGTACTGCGGGGGCAGGTCTCATTGTGATGTGTGGTACTGCATGGGCGGGTCTCATTGTGATGTGTGGTACTGCATGGGCGGGTCTCATTGTGAGCGTAGCTCGGCACAGTAGATAGAACAAAGGAGAGCATTACTCCAGGTCTTTATAGATACACTGTATATATTTCCTTGTTATATAGTTGTTAGCCAAGCTAGGAGAGACCGCTGATCATTTTCATTTGATGTCATCATTTCTACATTTAGTCAACTTGTATGATTATTGGCTATCTATTATACATTTGTTGGAATTTCATTTTGGATCTGGGCTGAAAGTGGGCCTCAAAAGTTAACCTGGGCAGCACAGTGGCTTAGTGGTTAGCACCTTTGCCTTGAAGGACTGAGGTCCTTGGTTTGAATGTTGGTTAGGATTGCATGGTTCTCTTGGACGAGTTGCAGGAATCATTGTTTATATAACACTTGGGGATGGATTTATTTAAAGAAAAAGTTGCAGAGCTATTTGTCCTGTGAAACTGCATGTATGTACATTCGCACTGTATGAATGGGGGCAAAAACTAAATGTTGTTAGGCTATTTTCTTTCCAGGTCAAATGTAATTAATTCATACATAATAGAGTGAATCAGTAAAATATTGCATTAAGACCAGTAGATGGAGCTGATGATCAAAGGAAATAAATACTTATTTACTACAATCATCAGTTCCATGTAGTGGCCATAATGAGGTATTTTCCAGATTCACTGTATTCTGTATGAATTAATAACATTCAACCTGTCTAATAACATTCCATTTTTGCGTCCATTTGCAAAGAACGAATATGCATGCAGTTTCACAGGACAAATAGCATTGTGATTTAAAAAATCCCTCAGGCTAGGTTCATATTTCTGCTCATCAGGAATGCACATGAATTTGTGCATAAATATTCTTTTTTTACTATTATTGTCATCGCCATCTAGTGGCCATAATGTGGTATTTTCCTAATTTGCTGTATTCTGTATGAATGAATAACATTCTAGCTGAAGAGAAAATAGCTGCATTACATTATGCTGAATGGGCCCAGCCTCCCTTGTGCAAGAGCCCATACTGTGTAATAGAAGAGAATGAAGGGAATACTTCAAGAAGGGCTCAAAATTTCCACTTGCCTGCTCACATTTGGCGAGTGGAAATAATGTGGGGGCAAGTGTGTCCAGGGCTGGTGCCAGGATACACCTTCCCCTGAGAAAAATCCTTGCCTTGTTCTGCCAACATTCCTCCGGTGCCTCTTCTTCTCCCTTCTCAATGTCAGTGCTTTGCCTTCTCTCCTCAATCTCCCCCACAACTGCACCTCATCCCCTCCTTTTGCTTGCATTTCCAGTGCTGTCAGTTGGCTCAGTTCTCTTGTGGATCCCTGGTTGTTCACTGGCTGTTTGGGGGCTCCCTGCAGGACAGTGGCGTCACAACGCCCCCCCCAGGTTATTTTATGCCCCTCCCCCCACTAAATTAGGTTGCTAGGCAGGCTGCAGCAGGTGAAGTTGACAGTTGGAGTTGACCGGTACGGCAGTGGGGGCAGTTACAAGCAGGAGGGAGAGGAGAAAAAAGCGGCTTCCAGCTGCTTCATTGAAATCCATACAGGGATTTCAGTGCTTTTAACATCCCCACCGCTGCACTGATCACCCCGACAGTCCATCTGACTTCCCTTTCTTCCCCCTGCCTGTTCCTCAGTGCCCAGACCCTCCCCCCATTCTCTGCATCAATATGAGAGGAGAGAGGGTGGATCTGCTCTGCTGCCCCCTGTGCCCACCACACTCTAGTCTGTGCAGCTTCTGAGAAGGGGATGTGTGGGTGGGAAGTTGTATACAGAGCAGCTGGTAGCTTTGTGATACTTCTGACTGAGCCAGTGAGGCAAAAACCATTCATGTGAGTTCAACCTTCTCCTTCCCTTCCCTTCCCCTCCCCTTCCCTTCCCTTCCCCTTCCCTTCCCTTTCCCTTCCCCTTCCCTTCCCCATCCCGGTCCCTTCCCTTTCCCTTCCCCTTCCACTTCCCTTCCCCTTCCCTTTCCCTTCCCCTTCCCTTTCCCTTCCCTTTCCCTCCCCTTCCCCTTCCCTTTCCCTCCCCTCCTTCCTCCTTCCTCCCCTCCTTCCTTTCTTCCTTCCTTCCATTGGTTGATTTGGCCGCACCACTCACATTTTGGCATTCTAAAATGTGTGTGTGGCACAGATTAGCAAAGTATAGTTATCCTATTTTTGTGCCAGGATAGGGTACCAGAGCATGAGACGGGGAATGAGGGCAGCTGCAGCGGGTTTACCACAGCAGATGGCAGCATTGGAGAACGGAACTCTTGATGGTGACACCTGATGTAAAGGGGGACTCTGATGGAGACACCTGATGTAAAGGGGGACTCTGATGGGGACACCTGATGTAAAGGGGGACTCTGATGGGGACACCTGATGTAAAGGGGGACTCTGATGGGGACACCTGATGTAAAGGGGGACTCTGATGGAGACACCTGATGTAAAGGGGGACTCTGATGGAGACACCTGATGTAAAGGGGGACTCTGATGGGGACACCTGATGTAAAGGGGGACTCTGATGGGGACACCTGATGTAAAGGGGGACTCTGATGGGGACACCTGATGTAAAGGGGGACTCTGATGGGGACACCTGATGTAAAGGGAGACTCTGATGGAGACACCTGATGTAAAGGGGGACTCTGATGGAGACACCAGATGTAAAGGGGGACTCTGATGGAGACACCTGATGTAAAGGGGGACTCTGATGGAGACACCAGATGTAAAGGGGGACTCTGATGGAGACACCTGATGTAAAGGGGGACTCTGATGGAGACACCTGATGTAAAGGGAGACTCTGATGGGGACACCTGATGTAAAGGGGGACTCTGGTGGAGACACCTGATGTAAAGGGGACTCTGGTGGAGACACCTGATGTAAAGGGGGACTCTGGTGGAGACACCCGATGTAAAGGGGGACTCTGGTGGAGACACCTGATGTAAAGGGGGACTCTGATGGGGACACCCGATGTAAAGGGGGACTCTGATGGAGACAACTGATGTAAAGTGGGACTCTGATGGTCCACATGTCAGGCTGGCAGCCATCTTTATCATTGTATATTTGGAATCTCTGCTATTTCTTCAATTTTCTGCATTTTGCTTCACAAACTGTTATATCCAGCTGCTATATCTCTGCAATTCGGCAGTTACTTGCAGTACCTTCATAATAGCTAAGCAGTTATTTTTCTGTCATTTTTTTGACAACTGCTGCAATACCATTGGCTCAATAAAACATACTGCACTATATTAGCCTTTTGTCTGGTGGCTTATTCCTGGAGCTACTTAAAGGTGGATTTCCATTGGTGCTGACGTGACGTGAAGCCGGGTGTAAGTGAAACCACGGGGCTGTCCCAGTTTGCTATGAGGGTCCCGCTGAGAGGTCTGAAGTCCGTTTCCGTGGTATACTGAGTACCTGAGAAGTACCTTATCCCTACCGGTTCCCAGTTGACCACTAGTGCCATTCTGAGTGTCATTTACATGCGCAATGTGATTGTGCGTCTGGGGAGTGCAAGCACACCTCACTTCTTATGCACAGAAGTCACGAGCACCTTATCTATGTTATTCCAGTGAGAAGCAGCCATGATTTCCAGACACTGGATGATTTAGGCACCTCTGCGTAAAAATTATTTTATGGACTGATATGCGTTTATATAGTGCGTTTACCTCACTGCTATTCGTATAACTTGAGGCGACGCACCATTGTCACTTTATTGCGCTCATCTTTAGCGCTTTGGTTTACTAATTGTCACTTTGCATTATATTTATGTCAGATTTATTATTGTTTTATGTGTTTTAAAGTGCTGCATTTTTTATTTATATGTTTTAAGGATTTAGAGGTTTTTTCCTTATGATAGCTGCTTTTACTCTTATTTAAGAAGCGCTCGCTTGTTTTTTTCATTTTTTGACTCTGATGGAGACACCTGATGTAAAGGGAGACTCTGATGATGACACCTGATGTAAAGGGAGACTCTGATGATGACACCTGATGTAAAGGGAGACTCTGATGATGACACCTGATGTAAAGGGAGACTCTGATGGAGACATCTGATGTAAAGGGAGACTGATGGAGACATCTGGTGTAAAGGGAGACTCTGATGGAGACATCTGATGTAAAGGGGGACTCTGATGGAGACATCTGATGTAAAGAGGGACTCTGATGGGGAGACCTGATGTAAAGGGGAACTCTGATGGGGACACTTGATGTAAAGGGGGACTCTGATGGGGACACCTGATGTAAAGGGAGACTCTGATGGAGACATCTGATGTAAAGGGGGTTTCTGATGGGGACACCTGATGTAAAGGGGGACTCTGATTGGGACACTTGATGTACAGGGGGACTCTGATGAGGACACCTGATGTAAAGGGGGACTCTGATGAGGACACCTCATGTAAAGGGAGACTCTGATGAGGACACTTGATGCAAAGGGGGGCTCTGATGAGGACACCCGATGTAAAGGAGGACTCTAAAGGGGACACCTGATGTAAAGGGGGACTCTGATGGGGACAGCTGATGTAAAGGGGGACTCTGATGGGGACACCTGATGTAAAGGGGGACTCTGATGGGGACACCTGATGTAAAGGGGGACTCTTATGGGGACACCTGATGTAAAGGGGGACTTTGATGGGGAGACCTGATGTAAAGGACTACTCTGATGGAGACATCTTATGTAAAGGGGGTTTCTGATGGGGACACCTGATGTAAAGGGGACTCTGATGAGGACACCGGATGTGAAGGGGGACTCTGATAGGGACATTTGATGTAAAGGGGGACTATGATGGGGACACCTGATGTAAAGGAGGACTCTGATGGGGACACCTGATGTAAAGGGGGACTCTGATGAGGACACCTGATTTAAAGGGGGTCTCTGATGGGGACACCTGATGTAAAGGACTACTCTGATGGAGACATCTGATGTAAAGGGAGACTTTGATGGGAACACCTGATGTAAAGGGGTACTCTGGTGGGGACACCTGATGTAAAGGAGGACTCTGATAAGGACACCTGATGCAAAGGGGGACTCTTATGGGGACACCTGATGTAAAGTGGGACTCTGATGGGGACACCTGATGTGGACACCTGATGTAAAGGAGGACGCCTGATGATGTTTATTTCATATTTATTTTTGTAACTTTGTCCTGCATTAAACATTCAACAATGTCATTTAGGGGTGGAATTAAGGGCGGGGCAGGGTAGGGGTTGCGTGGGGCAACTGGTGGCAAGTAGGACTTGAAATTTTGAGCCCTGCTTCATGTGTATATAAATCCGAAAGCTAAAATCTCGAAACACTAACATACATTATGTGAAGACAGCCGTTCTATTGAATGGGCTGCACAATGCACTCAATGCAGCTACAAGAGATGCACAATGCAGTTGGAGAAGAGCATGCGAGGCATGTGAGTGATTGCCGCAATTCTGCTGCACTGCAATGCAAGTGCATGAAGAAGAAGAGTAAGATCGCCATTCAGAAGGAATGGCACCAAATAGCACTGACTCATGCAGCATGGCAGTTTGAACGGGCCCTAGGGTCATTCACATGTGCGGCAGCCCTTGCTGCCCCGATGAAAAGCGATCCATGATGGATCACTTTTCAGAGGGAGTGTGCTGCCTCCCCACCGTCTGATTTAACCCTGCAAACATTGCACCACAGTACCGCAATCAAGTGTATTGCATTCCGTTGCGGCATGGCCTCATAGACTTCAGCGGTGGTAACATCCGCTGGATGCGATGGCTGTTTCACATTTGCCCCTGTCATAAAGCACAGCATTGCGGGCACGGCATTTGCCCTGGTTCAAGCGGGGTTGAGGGGGTGGTAAAGCCGTGGCTTAACCTGTTTTTACTGCCCCCTAGCCTTAGGATGACATGCTCAATCACTGCACTGTATCAATGGAGGAGCAGCATTATCACCCTGGACAGGAAGTTTGTTAGGACTACAGAACATTCCCTTCCTTTTCTCCATTGAAACAATGATTGAATCAGGAGTTCAATGCTGGTCTAGAGGGTCTGTTTGAATTTGCAAGTGCTTACAGGAAGACAATGTTTTAAATTAGCATCTCTAGCAGATCATCATAAATTCTTTAATCAGGTCTAATATGAAGAAGCATGATCTTTGAGAAGGTTGTATAATGCAAATCTAGTCAATATTTGATTCTATAGCTATTAGAGTGCATCGTAAAATGTTATCATCTCTCAGCTATGACATATTCGGGGAAAGTAACACTGCTTCTCCGAGGATAATCACTTAGGGCAGTGGTGCTCAACCTTCCTAATGCCATGACCCTTTCATACAGTTCCTCATGTTGTGGGGACCCCCAACCATAAAATTATTTACCCAGTAATTTATAATTCATGAAGTCTCATTTTACCTCCAATACTGCTGCTTTCAACACAGTAGCTGCTTTCAACACAGTAGCTGCTTTCAACAGAGTAGCTGCTTTCTACACAGTAGCTGCTTTCAACACAGTAGCTGCTTTTTACACAGTAGCTGCTTTCAACACAGTAGCTGCTTTCAACACAGTAGCTGCTTTCAACACAGTAGCTGCTTTTTACACAGTAGCTGCTTTCTACACACAGTAGCTGCTCTTTACACATCGTAAATATGTGTTTTCCGATGATCTTAGGTGACCCCTGTGAAAGGGCAGCTGCAACGGGTTTACCACAGCAGATGGCAGCACTGGAGAACGGAACTCTTGATGGAGACACCTGATGTAAAGGGGGACTCTAATGGAGACACCTGATGTAAAGGGGGACTCTGATGGGGACACCTGATGTAAAGGGGGACTCTGATGGAGACACCTGATGTAAAGGGAGACTCTGATGGAGACACCTGATGTAAAGGGGGACTCTGATGGAGACACCTGATGTAAAGGGGGACTCTGATGGAGACACCTGATGTAAAGGGGGACTCTGTTGGAGACACCTGATGTAAAGGGGGACTCTGATGGAGACACCTGATGTAAAGGGGGACTCTGATGGGGACACCTGATGTAAAGGGGGACTCTGATGGAGACACCTGATGTAAAGGGGGACTCTGAGTGGAGACACCTGATGTAAAGGGGGACTCTGGTGGAGACACTGATGTAAAGGAGGACTCTAATGGAGACACCTGATGTAAAGGGAGACTCTGATGGAGACACCTGATGTAAAGGGGGACTCTGATGGAGACACCTGATGTAAAGGGGGACTCTGGTGGAGACACCTGATGTAAAGGAGGACTCTAATGGAGACACCTGATGTAAAGGGAGACTCTGATGGAGACACCTGATGTAAAGGGGGACTCTGATGGAGACACCTGATGTAAAGGGGGACTCTGATGGAGACACCAGATGTAAAGGGGGGACTCTGATGGAGACATCTGATGTAAAGGGGGACTGTGATGGAGACACCTGATGTAAAGCAGTAGCTGCTTTCAACACAGTAGCTGCTTTCTACACAACAGCTGCTCTTTACACATTGGAAATATGTGTTTTCCGATGATCTTAGGTGACCCCCTGTGAAAGGGTCATTTGACCCCCAAAGGGGTCGCGACCCACAGGTTTGAGAACCACTGACTTAGAGGAAGAGTAACATGTCTACGTCCATGTAAGACTCTTTATTTGCATCTCCACTCTGTTTTGGTTTCCAATCTTGGAATGTATGAGAGATGAATGGCTCAGAAAGGTCATTTTTTTTGGCCTAATCGGCGGTAAGCCTACAAGGGTAGTTACAGAGATGGATGATAAACTAGGTGTGGTGGGAAGCAGGACACGTCCTATTTTTCTACAACCCTTTGGCTTCATTAGAGCATCCAAGGTCAATCCATCATTGCTTAGAGATCAATGACCTCTAGGGGCAGGGAGGAGTTTTAGGGTCTGACAAACTCAGGTAAGTGTGTTAAACAACATATTTTTTAATAGGGCAGCTAAAAGTAGCCAGGTAAACATATGAAGAACATCCTGAAGGAACATTCATGTATCATGTTTCATACTTGCTTGACCAAATGTAACATTTTTTGGAGTGTTAACATAATAAATGAGTTAATAAGTTATATCATACAACACTATAAAATACATTTAAATTTATGTAAATACAGGGAAGGATCTTGAGAAACATTTGTCTGTTTTCATGCTCTTTCTGCTTTGTGGTTGGAAGCCTAACACAATAGTTATGCAAGATTTCTCCTTTTTTATCCTGCAAACCCTGGATGCGCTATAAAGTAATCAGTAACCTGCATGATCACTCAGCAGTTTCATCCTTTTCTATCTCTTGTTCCTTCCTATTGGCCAGTGATTTCCCTCCTCCCTCCTCATCACATTGCTGGCCAAAGGGATGCATAGTTACTTTTCAAGCTCTATTTGCAGTTTTCTTCGTAGAGCACTCTCTCAATCTTTTTTTTATGGTCTGAATCTGAAAAAAGAGCTATGGTCATGGTCCATTTGCACCCTAGGTCCTAGGATAACTCCCCCCAACCACAGTGCATAGTCTTCTCCAGATGATTCTTTTTAATGCGACTGTCTCCTGGTCAGTCACAATTGCTTTACTTCAATGACTGCTTTAAAGGGAGTGTTATGTTGATTTTTGTCTATCTGAAGGTAGAAGTCTTAAAGGACACGTGCTTCTTGCTTCTTATCTAACTTTTGTCTTTTAGGATCTCTCCATTTTTGGAGTGCCAGCAAAGCTCATTTCCTTCAGATGTTCCAGTATATCAGGTCCTCCATCTTGATGATCAGTAGGACCCTAAGGTGCCTGCACATACACTCACTGGCCACTTTATTAGGTATACCTTGTTGGTACTGGGTTGGACCTCCTTTTGCCTTCATAACTGCCTAAATTCTTTGTGATCTAGATTCAACAAGGTGTTGGAAACATTCCTCAAAGATTTTGGTCCATATTGACATGAGTTATTGTTGCCTTCCTATCATCTCGAACCAGGCTGCCCATTCACCTCTGAGAACAAGGCATTTTCACCCACAAAACCTCTGCTCACTTGATATTTTTCTCTTTTTTGGACCATTCTCTGTAAACCCTAGAGATGGTTGTGCGTGAAAATTCCAGCAGATCATCAGTTTTTGAAATACTCAAACCAGCCCGTCTGGTATCAACAACCATGCCACCTTCAAAGTCACTTAAATCCCCTTTCTTCCCCATTATGATGCTCGGTTTGACCTTCAGCAAGTTGCATTTACCACGTCTACATGCCTAAATGCATTGAGGTGCTGCCATGTGATTGGCTGATTAGCAATTTGTGTTATCAAGCAATTGAACAGGTGGACCTAATAAAGTGTCCTGTCAGTGTACTTTCTTTATTATAAGCTCTTGTCTTCAAGTAAACTTGTAGCCATAATTATACCAAGCAGCAATTGAGATTTAAAACAAGCCCATAGTGGCCTCTGTAGTTGCAGGCACCGTGGAGCAGTTCACTCTCAAATTTCACAGCAGAAGCACTGATGTGGTCCAAATTGTTCTCTAAGAAGCTCATCCCTCCAGCAGTGACTCAGCAGCTGAGCTCCCCATTCTTAAGTCTTGTTATCTCTAATTTAATGCAGAAGAAGTGCCCCGAGAGAGAGAGTGTGTGAGTGTGTGTGTGTGTGTGTGTGTGTGTGTAGGGGGGGTGTTGGGTCAAGGTAAGATTCTAAGTGAACAACGTAAAGATTAACTTTCATGTAAAAATGAAATGTCATCCTCTAAAAATACTGTAGCTGCTCACTTTTAGGAAACAGTTACTCACCAGCCTATGGAATCCAGCGCAAGTCTTCCACCCAGCTGATTCTTCTGATGGCTTAGACCAGGGGTGTCAAACTGACGGCCCTCCAGCTGTTGCCAAACTACAAAGTCCCATCATGCATCTGCCTTTTGGAGTCATGCTTGTAACTCAATCTTGCAATGCCTCATGGGACTTGTCGTTTGGCAACAGCTGGAGGGCCACCAGTTTGACACCCGTGGCTTAGACAATTCCATGCCACCATCTTGATTTCGGGAGCATGCTGTCACTTCCTAATGACTCACAGCTAGGCCCTACTGCACATCTGTGAATTGGAGGCCAGCTCTGAGTCTGGTCCTCTAACCTTCTGAGATGTGTGACATTACCAGGGGTGGACTGACCATTTGGAAACTAGGGCACTGCCCGAGGGCCCGGGGTCAGTAGGGGGCCCAATGAGATGCCCCTGGTACCTTTTTCATAGACTTTTTTGAGTTTGGGCAAGGACACAGGGTCCCCATGATCCCCTATTGCCTGGGGGCCCCATGAGTTGTCAGTCCACCCCTGGACATTACCCTAAGAAGCTGAAGGGGGAGCGGCTGACCACATTGTCTTCATTCTCACCTAGGTGAGACATAAGGAAACGGGAGTGGCTACCACAAAAAAAGGGACTTGTTCCCTGAAAAAATAAAATTTCTGTGATTTCTTAATAGGCTGGGGAGAGGGGAAGTAAGGTTAGGAAGGGAACGTTCATATTCAGACAAAGGTCCACTTTAAACTGTGTAAGTGCTTGCTCTGAGAACTTTGAGAATGTAGTACCTACAGCTAAAGCTCATTTACTGCTTGTTAGGCATCTACAAATACGTGACTGCCAAAAGCCTTGCCACAGGACCACGTTAAGTTCCCTGGGAACAGGGGCTGACTGACCATTCGGAAACTTGGGCACTGCCCGAGAGCCCGGGGTCAGTAGGGGCCCCATGAGATGCCCCTGGTACCTTTCATAGGCTTTTTTGGGTGTGGTTTGAGTGTGGGCGAGGACACAGGGGCCCCATGATCCCTTATTGCCCGGGGGCCCTTGAGTTGTCAGTCCGTCCCTGCCTGGTAATCCTTGAACCTGTTTTAACCAATATAAATGATAACTTCATCTCTAAGTCATTGATCCAGTAGACCCCTCTCTTCATGTACCTCTTTATACACTATATATCCTATGATGTGTGACATTTAATTCCTGGAATGGACTGTAAAAACACATGTTTGCTTACCTATACACTAGGGCTATTGTCACCTTCAAAGTAGTCCCCCTTGTGATGCAACACACTTTTCTATGACTGCCGGAACCTGATCTGTGTTCTTTTAAGGTATTTTTTAATTTTGTAAACAGCCAAACGTCTTAGGTTGCTAAGTCAGAGGAATACGGTGGTTGGTCAATTTTCGGAAATGATTTCTGGGCCAGGAATCTGTGAACACTTAACGCATCATGTGCAGGAGCATTGTTGTGGTGGAGAATCAACTTGTCATGCCAGAGTTCCGGTCCTTTTCTCAGAACACATTCCTGTAACCATTTAATTTTCCACATTTTCATCTGCACTCTGCGTTTCTGGCTGCCCACTTCTGACGTCATCGTGGACATCTTCTCCTTAAACCACCTATGCCAATCAAAAACACTTGATTTCTTCATTCAATCTTTGCAGGAGCGTTGTCGCGGTGGAGAATCAACTTGTCATTCCAGAGTTCCGGTCCTTTCCTCAGAACACATTTCTGTAACCTTTTCATTTACCACATTTGCCTCCACCCTTTGTGTTCCTGGCTGCCCACTTCTGACGTCATCGTGGACATCTTCTCCTTAAACCACCTATGCCATTCAAAAACACTTGATTTCTTCATTCAATGTTTGCAGGAGCGTTGTCGTGGTGGAGAATCAACTTGTCATGCCAGAGTTCCGGTCCTTTCCTCAGAACACATTCCTGTAACCATTTCATTTTCCACATTTTCATCTGTACTCTGCGTTTCTGGCTGCCCACTTCTGACGTCATCGCGGACATCTTCTCCTTAAACCACCTATGCCAATCAAAAATACTTGATTTCTTCATTCAATGTTTGCAGGAGCATTGTCGTTGTGGAGAATCAACTTGTCATGCCAGAGTTCCGGTCCTTTCCTCAGAACACATTCCTGTAATAATTTAATTTTCCACATTTTCATCCGCACTCTGCGTTTCTGGCTGCCCACTTCTGACGTCATCGTGGACATCTTCTCCTGAAACCACCTATGCCGATCAAAACACTTGATTTCTTCATTCAATGTTTGCAGGAGCATTGTAGTGGTGGAGAATCAACTTGTCAGGCCAGAGTTCCGGTCCTTTCCTCAGAACACATTCCTGTAACCTTTTCATTTACCACATTTGCCTCCAACCTTTGTGTTCCTGGCTGCCCACTTCTGACGTCATCGTGGACATCTTCTCCTTAAACCACCTATGCCATTCGAAAACACTTGATTTCTTCATTCAATGTTTGCAGGAGCGTTGTCGTGGTGGAGAATCAACTTGTCATGCCAGAGTTTTGGTCCTTTCCTCAGAACACATTCCTGTAACCATTTAATTTTCCACATTTTCATCCGCACTCTGCGTTTCTGGCTGCCCACTTCTGACGCCATCGCGGACATCTTCTCCTTAAACCACCTATGCCGTTCAAAAACACTTGATTTCTTTATTCAATGTTCACCATAAGCCTGTTGTAACAGAGCTAAAGTTTCACTCACACGTTTACCAATTTTCACACAAAAT